AATGAGTTAGCTTCAGGCTTGTGACAAGACAAACATGCCAATGAAGATAGATAACGGAAGGTGTAGGTATCTTTTTTTCCATCAAAAATATAAAATTATCTTTATGTTAACCTAATAAAATTGCTTGCCATGGATTGTTCCTTAGGTGGACTCCTTCAGTGATGTAGATAGCGAGCCTTCCCACCTGGAGGCCCTGTGTACACAAAGACTGGTCTCTGGTGTRGGGGTCACCTCAAGTGGAATAACAACATTTACTGTCTCTGAAGCAGGCCTCGGACGGTAACATCATACTAATGTGTACGGGGGCGAATACACAAAAAAATCACCCATTTACATGGAACCACTGCAGTAATGTATCAGCCCGGGTTGCCAAATAGGACATAGTAAAGTGCTTTACWGTTCCTTTAAAATGATCATATTTTGAGTCAAAACAGCAGATATGCTGAACGTATTACTCACTCAGTCATATAACAGATAGACCAAACAACCAAACAAAACAACGTGAGTTGTTTTTCAGCTTACCTGTGCAGGTGACAACAGTGTTTGTGTCCTTCTGATTGTTGGAATTGCATCATCTTTTAGTGATAATCTTGATATTAGTCAAATGTTAAACTGGAAGCTATCATCGTAAAGTGGCTCGCACAAATATAATATTTTTTTTTATCAAATGGTTACTTCCAAAATTGAAATCCAACCATTTTTTTCAGAATAATGTCATTCTTGGAAAGCTTAAAAAGAGGGTAGTCTCATTGGCATCCAAAAATACATTTCCTCAAAGGACTGGACTGAGAAGTATTTAGTATTAGCTCAGCAGACGCGCAGTTTGTTTCTTTGCTAGTTGTTGCTGCCGATAGCCTGCAGGAGTCGCAGGAGAGGCGTGCTCTGCTTGGAGACAGCCCAGAGGAGGAGCTGCACCCAGTTCTTGGTCAAACCAGCCATTTTTGTTCTCCTGAACAGCTACCAGAGGACATTACAGGATTTCACAAACATGCATGAATGAGTCAAAGCAATACTCAAAATCCTCTTCCTGATGGCTGATTTCTTTCAACTTTCCCATGATGTTACACAAGGAAGCAGTGTTTCAGGTGTGCCTTAAATTACATGCACAGGTGTGTCTCTAATTAACTCAGATATTATCAATGAACCATCAGAAGCTTTCAAAGACATGACATCAAATGTCCCAAATTGTTTAAGGTATAGTAATCTTGGTGTATTTAAACTTTTGACTTTGATTAAAGTAATAAAAAATTGCCTTGAGAAATGATCTCTCTAGTTTTTCTGACATTTAGCAAATAGAAAAATATGTTGGTAATCCTAATTGACCTAAAATGGGAAACGTATATTCTGATTTCATGCCAGACAGTGTGAAAAATACATCTTTTTATATAGTGTATGTAAACTTCTGGTTTCAACTGTAAATGTGAGTACTGTCAGTGCAAATGTTGTGGACTAATGCTGGCTGTATTTGAAGAAAGATTCAGAAAATAAAAAACTCCTCTGTCACAGCACTGAATAACACAAAAAATTAGTCCTGAGATTAAGTCCATAATTAACTTTTTAAGCTGCTGTGCTGCAGATATAATATTTTTAATGGTAAATGCACTGAACTTATACAGTGCTTTATCAAAAACCATGGGGACCCCAAAGTGCTTTACAATGCAGTCATTCACCCATTCACACACATATTCACACACTTATTGTGATTCCTGCATGTAAAGTGTTAGTGGGAGTCATATTGTTTTCGTACTGTTTTTTTTCCCTCGGGAGATTTTTGATCAACCATAGCACAAAAACGGCTGCACCGGTCAACATGAAATTTGGCAGGACTGTAGATATGTCCATACACTGCTCCAGATAAC